GCCAGTGCAGCATGGGGGGTCGTGCCCCGAGGGCAGGTGCGGCTGGAGGGGCCCGGCGCGGGGGCGGGTGCTGGCGGAGGTGTCCTGATGTCCGGGATCCGCAATGGAAAACGAAACTCCTGGTCCCGACCAGGAAGCAGCGCTGGCTGCAGCGCCGAGCACGTCAGGCACGCCTCCCCACCCCCACGGGGCGAAGCCGGAGGGGATCGCGCGGCCGTGGGGCGGGGGTGTCGGTCCAGGGGCGGGCCCCCACGATCTTCTGTGCTGGGATCTGTAGGGGGCTTCCGGGTGCCCTTATGGCGCCTCCCGGACATAGGAGAGAACCCAGGCTTCCAGGATCACAACTTCCCCCCCCACCAGGCCACTCCCCTCCCTGAGCTGGGAAAGAACCCAGGCTTCTCGATTCAAACCCCTGCACTAACCCATCAGACCCTAGGTGTCCAGCCACTCGGTGCCCTCGTTCTGACCCACCAGATCCCCACTACTCCCGTGCCCAAACTGGGAAAGAAGCCAGGCATCCTGGCTCCCAGCCCTTCCCCCGCTCTCACCCACCAGCCCCCTCCCGGAACAGGGAAAGAACCCAGGCATCCGAGCTCCCAGCCCCCTACATCCCTGGCACTCTCACAAACAAGGCGTGGGGGTAGCCCTAGGGCCTGGGCAGGGCCCCATTGATCCCTGGCTATTGCTGAAGCCTCGTGCTTGTGCCCTGAGTCTGTCCAGTGCCAGGTCACCTTGGGTTCAGGGGAGGGGGGTGACACTAGACACTGGCTTCCTCAAAGCGGGGGGGGGAGACCCAGGAGTCCTGGCTTCCACCCCAACTCCTACTGGGAAGTCTTCATCATAACCCCAGGAATCAGACACTCACCCAGGCTGTGACATGGGGGTTGTTACTAGGGAGTGTAGTGATGTTTGGGGTGCAGGCAGGGGAGACCCCACCTGGGGGGATGTGAATTCACATGGGTTTTGGGGAGTCCATTGTGGAGAGGGAGCAGGGGCCTGGGGGTGTTAGGGAGGTGCATGGGGTCCTTCAGGGGCTGAGCACTAGGGCTCTGGCTCAGGGGTGTTGGGGTCGCATGTGGTAGCACAATCCCCTGATACTACCACCCACTCCCTATAGGTACATCTGGCCATGCAGGGGGCCCTGGCTCTTCTCCTGGGCGGCCTCCCACAACTCTCTGGCCTTGCCAGCTCTCCCCGGCGGCGCCAGCTTCCCACGCAGGGATCAGAGCAAGGTACATGGAGTGGAGCTGTAAATGGGGGTCATGGATATGAGGGTGAGGGGTGTCCTTCCCTACAGGCACTTTAACGGGTGGGTGCCCAGACTTCTCAAGAGAGCCCTGCTCCCGTCCCAGTGCTGGGAGAGAGAACCCAGGTGTCTTGGCTCCCAGCCCCCTGCTCTAACCTATATCAACCCCACTCCCTACCCAAAAGTAGGAGAGAGCCGGGGTGGAACCCAGGTGTCTTGACTCTGTGGCCCTGTTGCACAGTGTTCCTGGAGGCAGGACAGGCACACAGGTTCCTGGGGCGCCGGCTGCACTACAACCACTGGGACTTTGAGCTGGTGACACCAGGAAACCTGGAGCGCGAGTGCCGTGAAGAAGTGTGCAACTACGAGGAGGCCCGAGAGATCTTTGAGGATGACACCCTCACAGCTGAGTATAGGGGCATCTGGCAGGAAAGGGGTGCCAGCAGGGACCTGCTAGGGCACTGCCCCGTCCACCTCAGTGAGCCCAGCTAGCCTGGTGCCTGAACATTGGGGTTCACTGCCCATCCCAGGGGCAGGTGAATTCCCTTCATAGCCATGTGTGACAGGCAGTTGGGTGGGGGGCATCATCTGGTCTTGGGCCAGCTGACTATGTCATGTCCTAGTACTTGGATAGAACATAGCCAGGAGGGCTGGGGATGTTGGGGTGGGGGGCAGGAAGTGCTGAGGTATCCCTCCTCTTCTAGCCCAGCATCCTGTCTCTGAGCACGGACAGTCCCAGGGCTCTGAGCTGCTATGGAGTTGCCTTGCTGCCAGCAGGGAGTTCTCCCCACCCTTGGATGGCCCTGAAGCTAGGCCCAAAGGAAGGGAGAGCTGAGAGACAGGACTCCAGGGTTCTCTCCCAGTTCAGCATAGGAGACAGATGTGTGGTAGTGAGGGCTGGGAGCCTGGATGCCTGGGTTTTCTCCCAGCTCTGGGAGGGTAGTGGGGGTCCAGGGACACAGTGCCCTAAATGCAGGGAGGTGGCAGATGTGGGAAGCAGAGCACCTGCCCCCAACAGCCATGCTCACTCCCTGTCTCCTGCCCTCGCAGAAAGCCTTCTGGGAGACCTACCCCTATAATGGCAGAGGCGGGAGCTCAGGTGAGTCCTGGGCATAGCCCCTACCTCCATACCCCTTAGACACCCTGTGCTTGGGTGGGAACTGGTTCCCCCTCCCTCTACACTCCACCCAGGCCCCTTACCTCCTCCTCCACCCCTTTCTGCCCCCCAGACACGGCCGGTGTGGATGTGGCTGGCCTGGTGGCTGCACTAGTGGCTGCTGTGGTGCTGACCGTCCTGTTCGCTGTTATCCTCATGTACTGGGTCAGGTACCGGAACAAAGACAGGAGGCAGCGCAGGTAACCTGGGAGTGGGAGTGGGGTAGGGTGCACAGTTCTTGGGGGGAAATGGGCCAGCAGACTGCAGTGCCCCTGGGCATCTCTGGGGAGGGTGCTAGGCCTGGCTTCCTCTCCAGGGAGCAGAGGAGCAGCTTATTAAAGGGGTGGGAGGGGGGGATGCTGCAGTGAGGGGGCCACAGCAGCTCGGGAGAGGGGTGTCGGGGCTGGGGCACCCAGATCCCCCAAGGGAAAGGGGAGGGTTTCATTATGCTCCTTCCCAAGCAGGGCTGGTAGGGGGAGGGGTTGAGGTTGAGGGTAGAAGCAGGGGGCAGTGTCTCCCCGGGGGGCAATGCCCCCCCAGACCATGGTTGTCAGGGGACGTCCCCTAAACCCCTGCTTCCCCCCAGCATCCTGGTGCCCCTGAACCCTGAGCTGCCCCTGAGCTGCCTTCCAGAGACCCCCAAACCACCAGATGCTCCTGGGCTGCCATCCTACCAGGAGGCCCTGGAGGCTTCAGGGGCCTATGATGCGCCCCCGCCACCCTATAACAGGTGGGTCTGTCTGTCTGTGTGTTCGTCCATTGCTAGCTCCTATCCTGAAACACAGCTGCATCTGGGGTCCCCAGTGTGCGTGTGTGTGTGTGCGCGCGCGTGCACACGTGTGCATGGGGGGAGGAGGGGAAGTGGACACAGATGTATAGTCTGGAACTGGCAGCCAGGACACATGGGTTCTATCCTGGCTCTGGAAGGGGAGTGTGATCTTTGTGGGTTAGAACAAGGAAGATAGGAGCCAGGATGCCTAGGTTCTACCACTCACCCCAGAAGAGCTGTTAGCAAGTCCCTCCATGCCTCAGTTTCCTTGCCTGAAAGTGTTGCTCAGGCTTGTGTGTTATCTCACTTAACCCAGGAACTCTAGGGGTAGGGATCCTCCCCCACTGTGCAGCGCTTAGCAGCATTAAGCCCCCAGGTCTCAGCTGCACGGTGCCCTGCCTCATGGAGGAGTTCCCCGACCCTGCTCAGATCCTGGTCAGAGGGGAACCAAATGCCCTTACAGACCCCATTCCCCAGCATTTATTTCCCCTGCCTTCCTTAACATTGACCACTTTTCTTCCAACTGTGTGTTGGACACTTGAGTCTGACAGTGTCTCGACCAATGCCCCTTCCCACTCTGCAGCCTTGTTTCGAGGCCAGGAGGTGATAGATATCATTAACTACATGGAGATATTGGTGTGGGGAGTGGGGACAGAAGCTAAAGCGGATAAAGGGACCTTTCCCGCTCACGCCAAGGGGGGTTGACCCAGGGTTCCCCCTGCAGTACTAGGTTCTAGAGCTAAGGGTGTCGCTATGATTCACGCACTTGCCTGGCACCTCGGACCCCCCAGATCCAGGCTGGGACTCCCTGGGGCTGTGACTTAGCTCCTCTGTGCCTCAGTTTCCTTAGCTGGTACATGATGTCCTGATGTCCCCCACCCCTTGAAGAGCCCAGACACCACAGTGACAGACCTTCTCTCAGTTCATCCACATGGAAACTCCTGCCATAGAGCCCAGCCCTGGCTGAGAGATCCATTTCCCTGCCCCCTCCAGTCTATCCATCCATCCATCCTGAAACGGCTACATCCAGAGTTCCCAGTGTGTGTGTGTGTGTGTGTGTCTGGGGGGAGGGTGGGGGGGGACTTCTCTGAATCATGACAAGTCCATGATCCAGAGCAGGGGGTGAGTGGGCACCAGGCTAGAACCTATAACACCCGTCTGCCATGGGGTAGGGGCCAGGCACAGCACAGCCCCTGAATCTCAGCAGGGGCCAAACAAGAAATAGGGGAGGTGGAAACTGAGGCACAGCACAGGATGGGTGTTTGGCCTTTACCTACTCACGCAAGGTGGTTGTGGGGGCTGGTCCCCACCGCCACCTGCCATGTTGCCCCATCCAGCAGGGGGCACCAGGCTGTAGTGGGTACCTGCCTCCCCCTGGGCTGCCAGGGGCCTGCTGGGAAATCTCAAGGGAGAGAAGAGATGCTGCTGGGTTTGGGGAGGGGCTGCGGTTGTTACCCCAGCTGACCCCATTTCCCTTCCTCCCCCAGGGACTCTGTCCGCTGATCAGACTGACAGCCCCTGCAGCATGATGGGGGTGGGGAGAGCATGTGTGAGAGATGTAAGTGTGTGTTTAACACGACCAGCATGTGTGTGACATTGGGGGGCATGCGAGACATGAGTGTGTGAGGCAAACAATGTGTATGTAACATGGTGGGGGGTGTGCAAGGGGCATGGCAATTGTGCAAGGTGGTGGGGCAGAGGATTGGGTGAGAAGGGAGTGTGCAGGTGCAACCTGTTACCAGGCATGTGTGGATGAGTGTGCAACGGAGTAAACACGTGTCAGTTGGTGGGTGAGGGGGCAGATATAAAAGATGGGGCATGTGTGTGAGGGAATGGGTATGTGATAGAGGTGCGCATGTGATGTACCACTGAGGTACATGTGGCTGTGTGCACAAAGGGTGAATGTGCAAGGCAGAATGGCATGGGTGGGTGTGTGTGCATGGTGTGAGAGCATGCACACCTGTTGAGATGAGTGCAAACGTGTCTGTTCCCATGTGTGTGTGTGTGTCTCTCTCTCTCTCTCTCAACCCAGCTCCCCCCAGGCCCCAATGGCCTTTACCCAGGGGCTTCCCCGATTTCCCACCCCACAGCTCCTGGGAGGAGGAGCCACCCCTGCCTGTAATGGTTATATGGAAATAAAGTGTGAATAACCTGCCAGACCCCTGTCTGTCCTGTGTCACATTACTACACCGCTGCACCCCATCCTTGCAAGGGGATTACCAGGAGCTTTCGTCTGTGCAAGATGCTGTCACATGCTGAAAAGAATGCATGGATGCTAATGCCTCGCCTCTGGGGCTTCCACCTGGGGGACAGGCCTGCTTTGCACGGCTATTCCATGGAGTCGTGCAGCATGGGTCCTCTGGTGCAACAGGAATGAACAGGTAGTGGTGAGTACTGCTAGAGGGCTCATGAATCCCAGTGTGTTGGGCTGTGGGGGAACCTCAAAGGGGGGAAGGGATGGGGGAGTGCAG